TTCAAGATAATAAATTAAAAAATGAATGTTGTTTTCGTTCCGAAAAGGGAGTGTTCTTACCCTCCTCCCCCCATCAAAAAAACGATTTCTTCTCTTCCAAGATGAAAAATCTTTCTTTTGAGAAACGATCGCAACTGAGAAAGGGTTAATAATAATAAAATCAGCGTTCCAGGTAATCATTTCGAACGAAATGGACCATTATACGGTAAATACGCGAATAAAAATCCCTGTTATTTTTATCCTTTACCCTGTTCCAATTAAACTCTCGTAAACCATTTTTATCGTCGTTGATACTTTTACGTTTAAAAAATACTATTCGTGTAAATTTAATGTAAATGGTGCAATATTCAAATAAGAGTGTATATTGATTGAAAAACAGAAGAATGAATGAAATTTCAGACAGAGAGAGATATCAAAATTTGAAGAATTTTTAAGGAAATTTTTTTAATGGAAAATTGGACAATAATTTTCTTTATGAGAATTTTTTTTTTTTTGTAAATTAATTAATGAAATTCTTGGTTCTATGAATTTTACAGAGTTAGAATGAATATTTTCCGGTTTCTTTGATAGATTATAATTTTTGTATGAAAGAGTCTGATCTCTCTTTGATAAAAATGCTGGATAAATCGAGAGCTTACTTGATTCTTGATGGATTTTCTTTTCAGATTGGTAAGAGTAATTTCTTTGTAATACATATTTATTTATCATACTCTCGTAAAATAATTGTTTTTCTAATACAAAAATCATTACTCTCTTTATTGTCCAGATTCCATTTCATTTTCATTTATTTCATTCATTTTACCATCTCTTAATTTACAAATGTTAACAGAAGAACATTTAATATTGAACAAATTAAAATCAACTTTTTGCTTACACAGTTGCACAGCTCTATTACACACAAATTTAGTTGAAAAAGTTTATTATTTGCCGTTGCTGACCCAAATGTAAATTATACCGTGATCAATATTTCAATTCCATAACTCTCTCATACTTTAACCTACATTATATATATATAAAATGAAATAACACCGAACTCTATTAATATTCGATATAACTTTCAATGTAATAATTCTCGCGATAAACTAA